AAGAGAGGCTGCCCCCTCCTTGAACCAGTGACCCCAGGGCCCCTCTTTTCCCTCTCTGCCTATTAGTGCCTCAGAAGGCTTGGGGGCTGGACTCCCTCTCTTTCCTCTGGCTCCCGCCCCTCCTGGAGATGGGCTCAAGGCAGCAGGACTGACCGAGTGACTGCTGGTTGGCCAGAGGAGCTCAGCTGAAGCCCTGGACACTCGGATCCGAGAGAGGAGTCTTCTGGGAACCTGGAAGGCGTTCCCTTCTCCTGAATGACGGTCTAGGTGCCATCTGTTTTTAAATTCTTAACCTGGAACTCCTTAAATGGGGTAGGTGGGTGAGATTACCAAAGCTGAAGCCGGCTTTGCTGAGAAGCTCCTTACCTCCCTGCCCTTCTCCTTTTTCCTCCTGGACTGAACTGAAACAGAGGTCAAGCAGGGGGTGGGAGGGTGACCACTGCCTAGTCTCCTCTTTCTCTTTAGATCTCAGACCTTAAGCTCACGGTCCCTCGATATCTCTCTGCCACTACCAGCTCTTTGTCTAGTAGGCCTCTAACCCTGTTTCTGCAGCACTGTGAGTTCTCCAACATCTTTTTCTTTTTTAATTAAAAATTTAACTTAAGATGAGTTCTCTTAATTACCCCCCTCCTTCTACTACCTCTCCCTTTAGTCCCATCCCCAGTAGGAACCTTATTGTTTCCCACTGAATGAGAGCTAAGGTAAGAAGTGGGTCTTGACCTGATGGTATCCCATTTAAGTCTTGGGGACCTGGCCTGCCCTCTGCCAATCTGCCTGCTGGCCCAGGTGAGGAGGAAGAGGGATCTGGAGAGAAATTCAGAATGCTGCAAAACTAGGAGGTGTGTCTCAGAGTGGACTTCCTAACCATTGAGATTGAGAGGGTAGGTTGAAAATCATCTGTGAGTTTAGGGATCTTAAGATTCTCACCGCATGGGAGCAGGGACACCTCTAGAGCAAGGATTCTCAACGTAGGCACTTCTGACATTTGGGTTGGATAATTCTTTGTAATAGGGGACTGTCCTGTGCATTTTAGGATGTTCAGTGGTGTATCTGGCCCACCCTAGTTAGGACAACCAGAAATGCCCCCAGATATTGCCAGGTGTCTCCTAGGAGGCAGAATCACCCCCAGATGAGAGTCACTGCTCTAGACTCAAGGTATTTTTCTTTAAAGTATTTTCCCCACCCTACGCCCTTCCCATTATTCATCCTAAGCCTGAGCCATAGATGAACCAGGCCCTCTTGCAAAGTAGGCTCTGTAGGGCTGCACATAATGTCTGAAACAGTCCTTTATTCAGTGTGTTGCTTGTGCTTGCATGGGTTCATGTCTCTGATGGATGCGTACTGTGCTTCTCCATTCTTGTTTGGAGGAGGGGTTCCTGCAGTGTGGAGGCAGGAACAGAGTATGGCGAGATTGGGGAAGGGAGAGAGTAAAAGCAGTAGGGCCACAGACACCCAGGTTTATCCTCTGCAGACTTTAAGCTCTACTTCTGTGCCCCAGTCCTAGAACCAGACACAAATAAGACTCAGGGAGTTTTGTCTGAAGACCAGGTCCCACTCCCCACCTGGCTGAAGAGTCTGCGTTAGGTGGGAAAATAATGCAGGAGCATTAGGGTCTTTAGGCAGTTTTTCTTCTCAGGTGTTTTTTCTTCTGGCCCCTTCCTTGCAGGGAGGTTAGGAAGGCAGAACATGACCAGTGAGCTCCTCCTGCTCTGAGACAGGATGGGGGTCTCTCATTAGCTCAGCAACAAGAAGCATCTTGTTTGACGGTGAGGGGGTCAGGAAGGCGGGAACTAGGATCCACTCTGCTGAGTCCACCATCCATCCGGTTTGCCCACCTATAGTGACAGGCTCTAATTTTGTTCCAATTTCAGTGTATTTCCTGCCACTTTTCAGGGTCTAAGATTGGTCATACATTCCCAATTTACTCTGTTCCAGTCTAGCTAGTTGTTCTGAAAGTAGCTCATCTTGTCCTAAAGTAGCTTACTAGCCTGAGGGTTATAGTCAATCTGCGGGGTTCGCAGGATGGGGGACGCGTGGACTCTGGTCACCCCTATCTTCCGCCTTGTCCTAATGCCTCTTTTTGGACACAGTCGTCTTTGGTATTCTCTTGCCTTTAGCCACCTTTTCTAACGTGTATGCTCCCATCACTTGAACAATACTTAAAAGTGATGGGAATGGGTTTGAGAGTCATAATTTATATTAAAATGTGTTGGACTTTTAAATACGTTTTTCAAATAAAAAATGTTTAAGCAAAATAGTCACAGAGTAATCACTACAGGCATGTTTTGGGTCAAAGGATAAATATGGCTGATGAAGGTAACTGCTAAAAAGTGGCTGACATGGGATTTTGTGCCAACATCACCCTTTGCAAGGAAGAGAAGGCCAAGTATTGTGAAGGCAAGAAGACCACCATCATCTTTCAAGGGCTCAACTCCCTGTTCTTCCGGTTCCCTCCTCTTGGCATTCTTCTGAGATTTTTCAAATCTTTAAAGAAATCAATTGTTTAAAAACAATTTTGCAAATGAAGAAGAGGAGCAACATCAACATTTTATCCTGGGGGGGGTATAAAATATGCTGGGGGCAAGGGAAGGGATCAGGCCCGATGCTGCTGGTTACACAGTTCAGTTTTAAGGTTCGAGAGATTTCTGGCCTCCACCCTCAGATACCTGTGTAAAAAGACACAAGACCAAACAATTTTTTTCTTCTAGTTTTGTTTTTCTGTACTAAAAATATCCAATGGGTACTGGGATCGAAAGGGATGGAAAGTTTGAGATGCTGACACCTTCTGTTGCAGATGAAGTGGCCATTACCTGCGGTTTCTCTCTATCTGGGTAAGGAAACAAAATAGAGAAAAAGGGGAAATGTTATAACTACATCTATATTCTTTTCCCTTCCTTGCTTCATCTCCCTCCCCAGAAGCCCTCATTCCCTCAACACCACTGCCCCGTTTATGCTGCTTTTTTATACTGAATTAACGGTATTGGATACCCAAGGAGAAAGACAAAAACTGGCAAAATGACAGACCACATATGCTATTTTATTGTCCTTCCCTTCTCCCCAAAGTTCCCAAAATCCTGTCAATTGAGAATATTTTATTATTCTCAATCAGAGCCTTTGGTAGTTCATTTGGTAAAGCAGAGGACTATCCTTCCTGAAGAATTCTTAAATTGCTGGAAATAATCCCTGGGGTTCTTTGGGATAGTGGTGGTTAGGGGCATCAGCACTAGGGTCAACCAATCCTGTTGTGACTGTCATTTACTAGCTTGTAAACCCCCGTTCCTTCACCTGTGAAGTGGGGATAATTATACCTCACAGCATTGTTGTGAGGATTGATCCGGGTCAAGTGCACACCTCAAATATTGGCTGTTGTTTCTATTAAATTGCATTAATAAACTGAGAACTATTGATATCTTCCATATCTATTATCTTCATCAAGCATTATTGATACATCTCTAACCTTCACATTTTGGGCAATAATCCTCCCATGACCAATGATACATGTTGCCCATTAACCAACCAGCAGTGGCTCAAGAAATAGGTGGACTTGGTGGCTAACGATGTGAGTAACCAGTATATTATGCATCAGTGACCAAATGAGGCAAGTGACACCTCATGCAAACACTTACTGGTTGCATCTCTGTGAACACTGCAGACAGACTGTTCCAAATATCCTCCAGCCCGATCCTGACCCGTCTCCAAAAAGCAAGGGCTGGACTGGGGCTGGGGCTGGTGCCAAAGAAGAAGGGGGTGGGTCTGATTCTAGAGCTGAGGGGGGGTATGGGAGTGGTGGTGGTGGTGGTGGTGGTAGTGGTGGTGGTGGTGGCGGCGGTACTGGTGGTGGCGGTCTGAGTGGTACAGCTGGTGTCAGAGCAGAGACTGGAGTCGAGAGGGCACTCCTCCCGAAGCCGGTTGCAGGGACATTTCTTGTAGGTACAAGGCCGGTGCTCTGTGCGGAGCTGGTTCAGCGCCCCAACATGAAGGCGCCCAGAAAGGCCCTGCAGCTTCCCGGCCCGGGTCCGACTCATGGTGCCTGAGCTGCAGTGGCAGTGCCACGGGCCCCAGGGCATCAGCACCAGCCGCAGATCCTCCGGAGGTGGTAGGGTCCTGTACGAGGGCTGTTCCCACCGGTTTGGGGTGGACCCTGCTGTTGACCACCGGCTCAAGGTATTGTCAGGGTGCATTATGTCCCCAGTAGGCTGCCAGATTTTGGTCGGCAGGTCTGAAGACATACTGATCTCAGGCTCCTGGGTATTTGCTTTAAACCTTGAGCTGGGCACCCCCGCTGTATTGTAATTCCTGCTGAGAGACGCTGCAGTGATGTTATTCTTTCTGGCGTTAATCACAACCCCCTCTTCCAAAGACTCATCATCCTCGGGCGACGACACAATCGACTTCCTGACGCCTGTGGCCACTGTGGAGGCCAAGAGCTCCGCAGCAGCCGGGCCGGCCAGGTGGTCGACACTGGCCCCGACGTCATCCTCAACCTCCATTGTTACCTTCATCCTCCTGGGACCACCGGTCCGGAGGGTGGTCCGGCGGGACATGGGGACCCCGAAGCGGAAACTGGCCCGCTGCGTCTCAGTGGAAGTCAGGCCTTGGGCCCCCGCCGCCCGGGGCCCCAGACTCAGCAGCAGGGCCCAGAGCAGCGCGCCGGCGGCGGGGACCATGGGGCCGGCCGATGTGCGGCTGAGAGGGAGGCCAGCGAGGGAGGCCGGGACTCCTACCTTCTCTCCCTCCCTTCCGCTCTCAACCCGGCGGGTCGTTTGAACCGCGGCCCGCGGAGGGCGGGGGGAGGGGGACTCCTACGCGCGCGCCACGCCCCTCCCCCAGGACCTTGCAGAGCAGCCCGGGGGTGGAGCGGGGGAGTGCGGGGGCGGGGGGAGGGGGTGCTGAGCTATTTTAGCTTAGGAACCACTGCGGCCAGAACTCCGTGCCATAACCGACGGACGCATTGTGATGTAAGGGGCCCGGGCAAGTAGGGCACTTCCTCGGAGCAGGGCTTAAATCTCGCATCGCAGTTTATTAACCGCTACAGATCTGAATTGATTCAAGAGGACAAAAGTACAAGTTTTGAAAGCACTCCTTCCCAGACTCAGAGGCAGCAGCTGTGACAAAGAAGGAAACCGCGGTTCTTCAAGATTTAGGGAGCTGACTCCTGGTTCCCAGCAGGCTGTGTGGTCAGTTAAGCCCTGCTCTCCCCTCCACCTCTCACCGAGCTTCACAGACTGCTAGAATGCCCCAGGTGGAAAGGGTCTTAGCACCTTCATTTACAGGGGAGGAAAAGGACACTCAGAATGATGCAGTTCTTTGCCCAAGGTTCTGCAGCTGAAGCAGAACCAAAACCCACAGCCTTCCCCTTTCCCGTACAGGATGCCACTACATGCACCCCTCTAGCTGAAATGATGATCACCAGGCAGATCAGGTTCGGGACCTTGGAGCCCTGCTTTGAAAGCAGGGTCATGAGAGGAATGACACCCCAGTGAAATGTGAAGGTCCAGTGGTACTGGGGTTGAGGATGAGATGGTTTAGGGAACAGGCCAGATGTTTCAGGGTTAGGGCATAGGCAGATTAATCTTTGCTTGGTTCTAAGGCCCTTGGTTCCCATCTTCCTCTAGGTCCCTCCTGAGCCATGGAGATCCCGGTCCAGCCTAGGAGAGAAAAACAAAAAAATGGTTCAGGAGCAGGACTTGGTTTTACTCATTGGTCTGGGAGAGAAGCCAAAGAACTGGAAGAGTCTGAAGATTGGGTGCTTGAGCTGGTGGTCATCAGGCTCCTTTGTTCCCTAGTACCTCCCCACTGGGTATTTTCTCTTCACTGCCCTTCTTGACTTCTTAACTTCTATGGCTGATCTCAATCTCCTCTAAGTTCTGTGCTGTGAAATATTCCTTTATTCTCTGATGCCTCAGCACTTACATGTATAGTTTTTTTTTTTTTTTTTTTTCATTTGTTCTTGTTGGATGCAGGCCTTAATTTCTTCTCTGGGTGGGTACAGTTTTCCCAGATATACCGAAGCATCTGGAAGCAGGGCCTCTCTCTATCTTTTAGTTCCTCTGCATCTCCCCCAAGGCATTAAGAAAGCAAGAACTGGCTTTATACATCCCACCCCAAACTTTTCTCCTTAAGCTCGGGGGACTCACTGTCTGACAGCTTCAGGGATGTGAACCTGATCCAAGGAGATGAGTTGGGCCAGCTCTCCCAGGCTGTTCAGAAAACGGATCTTTCGTGTGAACTTGGAACTGAAAAGAGAGGATAAACCAAGTTACTGGGAGGAGGGTTCTTGGAGACCCTTACAAAGGGAAATGTGGCAAGCAGAGCACGGTTAAGGCTAGAAAGAGCCAGGGTGGGGCAAAATCTTCTTAATCTTGATTTTGAACATGGGGGAAGGGAGGTCCTTGTCCTCAGAGCTGGTACCTGATGAAGGGCCGAAGCAGTGCCAGGAATGCCTTCACATACCAGGTGGCGTGGACAACCACCAGGGCGCGCAGGTTTTTCCGGAGCCTGCAGAATAGGAAGGAGATCATTCTATTCTTCTTCCACCTTCATGCCAGACGATCAGGTGGAGCTATGTTCTGTGCTTTAACTTCCTTCACATCTGCAGTTTCTAGATTTCTCTGGCAGTTGGGTCTAGTTCCCACTCCTTGGCCTATAATCTGAGCTCCACCCATCGTGTTTAGCCCTTCGTGCTCCTCATTTTTAGGCAACTCCCTTGCCGGAATCCCTCTGCCCCATCTCCCTCCTGTGCCCTACCCTCACATAAATCTCGGCTACTCCCCTTTTCCCATGCCCCCCACAACCGGGACAAAAACAAAAAAGAATGAGCTAGAAAAGTGAGCAAAGGGAAGGTGGGGGAAAGAAAAAGGGAAAAGGAACATCATGGGGAACAAAGCCATATGGGTCAGGGATGAAGGCGGAGAGAAGCAGACAATGGCGGCCTGGGCAGTAAACTAGATGGCGAGACGGGGAGAAAAGGAAGGGGTACCTCTGTGTGCCCGGCAACACGCCACACCGATTTACTAGATTTTCACCATGGCCACTGGCAAAGGTATCATCATTGCCATCTTGCAGAGAAGGAAACTGAGTCCCAGGGAGGTTAAGTGACTTGCCCAAGGTAAATGATAGAGCAGGTAAATGACAGAGGCAAGATTTGAAACCAGATTTCCCTGACTCGGAGAGTTCAGAAGACAGGAGAGGCCTGGTAAGGGTGGTAGAGGGACAAGGAAAAGAGGAAGGGACTAAAATGGAAGAGGAAGGAATGGAAACAGGGAAAGAGAAAGCGCAGCAGGAGTTGCAGCCGTGCTGTCCTCGTGGCTCACCGCCGGTCCAGAGTGTGGTAACACTGGCGCATCCAGCCCAGAGGTGGGACCTGGGCCCTACTCGTGCCTCCACTCAAGTGAACCAGCAGGTAATTTTCAGCGACCAGCAGCTCCAGAGTTCCCACCATATACCTGGGGGGAGACACAACTGTCAAGGGAGGTACATGCTTGGGGTCGTGGGGAGCGAGAGGGACATTATTGTAGACTCTGCAGTCAGCTGCTGATCGTGCAGGGGGTTCTTTTTTTTTTTGTTCTTTTTTTTAAGATTTTATTTGCCGGGGGTGGGGGAGCACAAGCAGGGGCACAGCAGAGGGAGAGGGAGAAGGAGGATCTCCACCGAGCAGGGAGCCTGACGACGTGGGGCTAGATCCCAGGACCCCGGGATCACGACCTGAGCCACAGGCAGACGCTCAACCAACGGAGGCACCCAGGTGCCCCAGGGGGTTCTTTTTTACTTTTCCCTCCCTAACATCCCCCTGGAGCCCTTCAGGGCTTCCGCTGCACCTGAACAAGTGCTCCATGACATAGGTATAGTTGGGGATGCTGCTGCTGGGTAGGTAACAGGAAGCGAAGACAATAACAGCATTGAGGCCATCACCATGGTAACCTGGAGAGGACAAAGGGAAAATTCAGTCAACAACTATGTATGACAGTACATCTGTTGAGGCTGAGGGACTCTGAGGGTCTCTGGAAGTTACAGAAAGGATTTTGAAGCCAGAAACTGAGTTTCCAACTTCGGCATTTGATTCAAGAAGTCACAGTTCTTCCCCCTCCACGTATGCGAGCCATTACCTCCATGAGAGAGGGCTTTCTTGTAGAGCTCAATGACAGTCATGTCCACTCGCTGCTCCTGCTGTCCTGTCCGGAACACCCTCCAGTGACGGCCATCTTCTCCAACCACATCCCACACACAACCCCGGCCCAGCCTTTCTGCCGCCTCACTGGCCCCCAGACCCTCTGCCCGGGGCAGGTCATCTGAAAGAGAGGGATGGGGAAGGCTTGATAAGGCACGGTACACGCCTTCAGTATCTTCTACCTTCCCCAGGTTCCTAGAGTTGATTGCTCTAACCGCTCATTCCTCAGTTTTTTTTTCTAGGACTCTAGCCCTAATTTGTCCAATTAATCCAGTGCCTTGCTCGTTTCTCTTTCCTATGACTCATGATCCTCACTTTTTCACTAGACCCTGGCCTTGAGGTAACCCTGCACTATGGTAGGTGCATGGCTCTTGCCAGTATTATTTTTTTTTTCTAGATTCTTTCTTTCCATGCCTTTCCCTGGGTGAGCTCATCTGTTCCCATGTCTTCAATAACCACCAGTAAGGTGATGATTCCAAATTTGCCCCTCTAACCCGTGTCCCTAAATGCTTAGAGTGGACATCTTTAGTTTGTGTCTTTCTGTCATCTCCAAGCCACCAGACCCAAGTGTAATTTGAACTCATTCTCTTCCTCCTCTCTCCCATATTTCCTTTCTGGATGAATGACTCCATCCATCTAGCTGGCTGAGAAAGAAAACTGGTATCAAAGATTTTCTTCTCTGTCAGCCCTCAAGCCAACTGGACCCCAAATCTTCTTCCATATGTCTCCATTGTATTCTCTTATCATTCTTTCCACTACTACTGTCCTGATTCAGGTTCTTAGCATTTCTCACCTGGTGCTAGCCACCTAACTGGTTTACCTGTCTCTAGTCTGTTTACTCCATTCCACCCTATACCCCACAGCTAGAGCAAGCTTTGTTTTCTACCCTAGCTTTCCTACTCAAATGGCAATATACTATACCCACTAATTCTGCATGCCTTCCATAGCAATGGAAACAGCTGCCTCATCTTAAAAAATGGTTGTCTAGGGGCGCCTGGCTGGCTCTGTTGGTGGAGTGTGCGGCACTGACCCTTGATAGTGGGGTTGTGAGTTTGAGCCCAATGCTGGGTGTAGAGATTACTTAAAAAATAAAAAACTTAAAAAAAAAGCTTGCCTGGTATTTAGTATTCCATTGCATGGATGCACCATATTATAATCAATACTCTACTGGGCGCCTGGGTGGCTCAGATGGTTAAGCATCTGCCTTCGGCTCAGGTCATGATCCCAGGGTCCTGGGATCGAGTCCCGCATCGGGCTCCCTGCTCCTTGGGAGCCTGCTTCTCCCTCTGCTTCTCTCTCTCTCTCTCTCTCCCTCTCTCTCTCCCTGTCTCTTATGAATAAATAAATAAAATCTTTAAAAAAAAAAAAGAACCAATACTCTACTGACGGACCTTTAGGTTGTTTCCAACCTCTTTAGATCCATTAAATCTAATCATGTTACTCCCTTGATTAAAACCATTCAGTGATTTCTCATTGCCTACAGGATAAAATCTAAACTCCTCAGTGTGGAAGCAAGGACCTCCATGATTTGACTCCGGCCAACCTAACACAGCACTCTGATTCAGAAGTTTAGGTGACAACTTGGACATGTGATTGGTGTCTGAAGTCGAGGGCAATCTTGTGGGTGAGCCCTTAACCTGTGGGGTCTGTCCTAACTCCTGTCAAGCATCACAGGTGAACTCTAGGATGCCCTGTTGATGTCTGGAAAAGTGGAGAAGTGGTTGGTGTGGGTAAAATCCATACATTTGGTGTTGGAAGTGTCATGAGTAGAGAAGAAACAAAGTTTTCCTTAGTATCAAAATAGTCATGCTTAATACTTTGAATTCCCCGACATGCCCTGTTCCTACCAAGTTGTTTCATCTACCTAGAATGCCTCAGCTACCTGATAAAGACCAGCTCAGAATCGCCTCTTCTGTGAAGTCTTTGCTAATGCCTCTCAGGCAGAACTGACCTTGTCCATATCCCTGCTGACCGTCTCCTATACATATGTAGACCATAATCTTCAACTACACTTATTTGTATATGTGTTAATTTCTTATTAAACAGAGAACTCCCTGAGGGTAGGATGGATCTTACTTACCCTTAGAACTTGGTTCTCGCCCAGTAATAGCATGTAAGAGTCACTCAATAAAAGCTTCCTAAACAAAGGACCCTCCCCACCTCTCTACTGACTGCTCTCACATTGGATCTACAGACTCTACCTTTCCGTTCTGAGGAAATTAATTTTGCTGACCTTACCACTCGGTCCCCACCTTATTGTTTCTAACTTTTGTCCCATTAAATCCACCCTGAGCTTCAACTCTAGCTTCCACTTGTACTGGCTCAGGCCTCAGGTCTCTTTCCCACCTTCCCATTCAAATTCATGTCCACTGTCCAGGGGCTCCGAGTCTGACGGGGTCTCCACTTCATCTACGTCCAGGTCAGAACTGCCATCAGGAGAGGAAGGTTCAGAGCACGTGGGAGAAGTTCCGTCGCCTCCAGTCCCCTTAGTCAGATTCAGTCGCAGCTCTGGCGCAGAAAGACGCTTACGCATGGGACGAGGGCCACACAAGGCTAAAGTGCTGGGAGTACCTGGGTTCGGGAGAGAGGAGAAAAGAATAGAAAAGTATATGTGTGTTGGCAGGGGAGGCTGGAATTCCTGCATATGGTAGTGATATATGGGGTGAATTCTAAAGAACTTACACAGGGGATATTTGAGGAAAGAGCAGGGGAACCACAAACGGATGAGGGCGGCACAGCCCTTCACTGGCCTAGAATCAAGAACTTGAGGCCTACCTGTCTGTGAGTCTCTCTCAGGATCGTCAGGATCTTCAGAAGGGTCCGCTTCTTCAGGAAGAAACCTAGAGGGGAAAGATTACAAGGGGGGCAGAAATGCAGGTTAAACGAATCAAGCCAGGTATCAGTTTATCAATCCTCTCACCAAGGCACAATTCTTTTTTTTTTTAAGATTTATTTATTTGAGAGAGAGAGTGTACACGAGCCAGGGCTGAGGGACTTGGGGGGGAGGGGGCACAGAGGGAGAGGGAGAGGGGAAGCAGACTCCCTGCTGAGTGCGGAGCCCAAGGCAGAGCTTGATTCCATGACTCTGAGATCGTGGAATCAACTGAAACCAGAGTCAGACGCTTAACTGACTGAGCCACCCAGCAACCACCCCGCCATGATTTTATCTTATCTCCTCTGCCTTCTTTGAACCCCTCCTTCCTTCAAGTCCTAAATCGTCCTTCTGGCCCGCCATTCATGAGCATCCCTCACAGTCCTCACCTGGGGAATTCTTCGTCCTGCCACTCCTCCTTCAGCTCCAGTCCCCCAAGTCTCAGGGATGAGGCTGGCCCCACTGCTTCAGCATTCTCCCTGGCCCTAAGAGTCCCCGGGGGGGGAGGGGGTGATCATGAGACCAACTAGGCAGTGTCTTAAGGGAACTGGGCTGTATGTAGGAGACACTGGAAAAGACGTCAGAGCTTGTCTCCTGGACAGATACTTCTACCACACCCACCACTTCCTGGAGACAGATGAACCCTCCTGTGGGGCTTAGGAGCAGAGGGAAGATGGAATGTCCAGCTCATCATATCTACCTCTGTGGTGTTGCTCCGCTTACACAGTGGGTAGGGATATTCCACATTACACCTGGCTGGAACCTGACAGACCCGCCCAGCTGTCACCAGGCAGTTAGGGAGGGAAGATGGCACCTCGTCAGGCCTGCCTTTCCTCCACCACACTGGGGAGTGGTCAGGGAAAACCATGGCAGAGGTGGAAGGGTGGGGGAAGAAGGTAAGGAGGGAGACAGACTGCTGGGAAAGGAGTACCTGAACCTAAATTTCTTTCTAGGTCAGCTTTCCAGAGGGCCATTCTGGGGAGTGGGTGTTAGAAAACAGACAACAGGCACAGTTTTATCAGACACAAAATAGAGAAGCTTCCTTTAAAAACAAAATGATAGGGAATTATCCCGAAACCCCCAGTTCCCCATTTCCTACCTAGAGCCACCCTACCCCTTCCCTGCAAATTCATTCTCTTGCAGTCACGTCTCTTCCAGGAAGCCAAGATTTGCCCTGGTCAGAGCTGAATGGTGGGAAAGTCCCTCAAGACTATTCGTTGCTTGTTTCCAATCAAGTGAGCCAGATCTTACTTACCCAAGATCTAACGTTTTTTCTCCCACTTCTTGCGTGGTTCCCATCTTCACAGGTCTTCCTGTCTCCCTTAAACACTTGCAGCTGTCTGGGAGCTGGCTGTCCCAGCTCCCCAGCACTTCTGTGGTCTTTTTCTCTGTCTCACTGTTGTTGCTCTTGTCTCCAAAGGGGAGGGAGGTGTGGAAGGGAGGTAACCTTACCTTCAAACAGGTTTTGCCACCTCCCTTCCTTTCCCTTCCCAAGCAGCAGGTTTGCCCAAAAGAAAAACCCTGCCTATGTGGGGGCGGGTTTTAGGGACGAGAGGACATTTTCTAAAGTGGCTAGTCTTGGGGGAGTCGAGGAAGGCAATTTGTTTTCCCTTCCAGACTCCTTATAACTTCTGGAAGCTGCTCTTTAAAAAAAAAAAAAAAGAAAAAGAAAGGGAAAAAAATGGTAAAAAACATTTTGGTTTTAAGACTATGCTTTTTGAGCATAAGCAAGATTGGGAACGCCGTTATTAGGAGGGTTCTGGAAGAAGAAACAGATGATCCGCCGAGGATAAGGAGAGATGGAAGACTGTTGCTCTTCATTCCCCAAAAAAAGTTAATGGAGACATTCCATACAGCAGGAAGAAGGGAGATGAATCTTGAGGAGGCTAAAACCATTATCAGAGGTAAAAAGAGACAATAAGGCCCCAAACAGGAAAAAAAAGGTATTTAATACTTTAACAAAATGCAAAATAAAGTACCCAAGTTACAAAACATAAATTCCTTTGGTTCAATAATCACACTATTTTTACCTTCCAATGGCTACAGACATCATCCCCTCAAAGTGAAGTCATACCATCCCCCTCATACTGAAGACATCATGCCAAAACTGTTTCACGCACCCCACCATTCAGTGGAACCGTGGGCAACTTACATGAAGCTGGGCTGTGGGGCAGGAAAAAGGGGAACAGGTTGGTCTGAAGGGAAGAGGGAGACTCTACACATGCAGAACAAGTCGATGGGGGAGTTCTCTGCTGGGTCACTATGGTATGAATCATACCACTGTACACGCTACGTGAGGCTGAGTCCCTTGGTACAATCACATATAAATACAGACAGTTCAGCCACCCTGAGCATTCCCAGGGAGAAGAGAAACAAACAAACCAATACAGAGAAGCAGGGAGAGAAGCAATGGCACCAAGAGGCAGATCACAATACCAGAGAACATCCAGTCCAGATCCTTAGTTTTACAGACGGGGCGAATGAGGCCTAGAGAAATGAAGTGTCTTACCAAGAGACCCACAGTTCACGGCAGATGGTATTAGAATTCCATACTTTCTTTCAACGTGAGCAGGAAGAGAACAGGATGGAAGAGAAATTGCCAGGCCGCTAAGGCAGGGTCCAGAGCCGGGCTCTCACTGCAGTTCTTCTGTCTTTTGGGAAGAGTACCTATGTGGTCTTAAGGCTTTCCTGGGTATCACCCAAACTCTCAAGCACCAGGGGTCTTCTGTGTCTTTCTGGGGTCCCTGTGGCTCTGGGACCGAGGGATCCAAAGAAACTGAGAGCCAGGCCGGCTGACCAGGACGGAAGATAATGGTCTCTTAGCTGCTCCCCACCGATCTTAAAAGAGTCATAATGAGCTCAGAATACAAAGGTAGCTACCTCAGCCTCGGCTACCGTCACCTAACTGGGGACAGAAAGAGGAATCGTGGAGCTGGATTCTGCGAGTTTGCAAAGCACACTCTATTTTCTATCAAGCTGGAAGTAGGTATTCAATAGATAGCTGAATGAAGAAGGGGATAAATGAATACACAGAGACAAGGCTGTTTGGTTCCACGAGAGATACTGGTTCTGTTACAGAGCCTTACTGAGGGTACACCTTCTTGTGCAGCTTTGCTGGAACTGTGCAGGTATCACACTGTACCCCTGGCCGGGGACATACAGGAGAGTCAGCGCAGATTTGAAGATTTAAATTAGATAATACGATCTGTCTGATGGGCAGAGATCTGCGGAAAAGGCAGGAAGCCAACCCCAGAGCAGCTCTTTTCTTTCACTTCTTTCTTCTCCCCGGTTCATGAACACAGTACACCAGATCCCGGAGCCATGAAGACGGAACCGCCGACACACCGCAAAACATGCATTTGAAGTGGTTCAAGCAACCTCTCTCACCATCCTGTCCTCTCCCAGCAGTCACTTCTTAGACAGGGAGGCCGCGGTCGACTGTGACTGCGAGATCTGACTGCACTTCTCAAAGATGACCTCGGCTGAGAGTTTAGGCAGCCCCTGATCCAGAGGGCACTCGTCCACCAAGCTGTTCATGGGCGTGGGGGGCAGTGGGGGCTCCTCCTCATCTTGACTCAGTCCAGGAACCAGGGAGTTACCTGCCCTGTCCAATTCCTTGTCTGCCAGCTCCCTGCACACAGCCTCTGTCTCAGGCTGCCCTGAAGGGATCTTCATGGAGTCAAAATACGCTGACAGGGCCTCCTGGAGCAGAGGCAGAAGCTTCTTCCGAGAGACCTGGGTGTTGCCCTGAAGATAGGCTTGGAGGTGAGGGTGGGTGCTTGGGGCAGGGGTTAGCTTCAGGGATGGAGAGTGGGAGTGTTCCAGCACTCCACAGATCTAAAGAGCAGACGAGATGGGGAGATGGCACATGAGGTGGGGAAGCAAACAGCTGAGGTTTCTAAGATAGAGACTTCTCTTACAGAGAAACTTTTTTTTTAAATTAAATCATCCAGAGTTCAATATTATTGCTTCAGAAAAAGGCACATTAGGTAATACACAGAGTATTTGGAAACAGAAGAAACATTTGAGATCATATATTTCGTTTTATTGATAAGTAAACCCAAGCCTGAAGAGCTTAAGTATCTTGAGCAAAATCCCACAGATGATGGGAGAGGCTGAACCACAACCCAGGACCCCCAGCTCCTGACCTAGTGTTGTTTCAAGTGCTTAAAAACTTGATCTCCATCCTTAGCTACAATGGGACAAGCATCTAGATTGAGGTCAGGGGCAAGACAGAGGCATAAAGAATGAGCAGATCAAAGTGGGGGTGGAAGGTGTGCCAGGCACAGTGCCGAGTCTGACCATTTACAAATATCATCTCATTGAATCGTCACCACTACCTTGTAAGATGGGTACTGGTATTACCCTCATTTACAGGTAGGGAGACAGAGACTCAGACGGATTAAGTAATTGCCTGAGGTGACAGTTTGAACGAGGCAAAGCTGATACTTGAACCCAGGTCCACCACCAAAGCCAGTGTTCTAAATCACTCTTTTATGTAATTTCTACCATAGGAGGGAGAGGAGAAGGGAGGGCACACTGCGAGAAGAGGGGTGCAGTGGGGAGCCTTCAGGTGTCTGCACACCCTCAGAGGACAGCACAGAAGGGGTGTGGTGGGGAGAAGGCAGGGACATTTCAGAAGGTGGGAGAGGCACTTCCTTTGGCCAAAGCACCCTTGCCTTCATGACATGATTAGTAAGAGCCACTGTTTGCTGCCTGCTTACTCTGTGCCCAGCAATGTGCTTTACATACGATCTTGTGTTTAATGACCACATCAGACTAATCAATGAGTGATATTATGCCATGTACACACTCAGAAGTCAATTGACTTGCCTGAGCTCAAGGAGCAGTAAGTGGCAAATCTGGGAGAGAAAACATGTCATTCTGCCTTTTAAAACTGTAGTTCTTGGGGCACGTGGGTGACTCAGCTGGTTAAGCATCTGCCTTCAGCTCAGGTCATGATCCCGGGACCCTGGGATCGAGCCCAGAATTGGGCTCCCTTTCAGCAGGGAGTCTGCGTCTCCCTCTCCATCTGCCTGCCACTCCCCCTGGTTGTGCACTCTCTGTGTCAAATAAATAAAAGTGTAGTTCCTTCCACAGTGCCAAACTACCTTCCACTAAATGAAATTACATTTGCTTCCAGAAAAGGAAAAGGTGACATAACCTTTGGAAGCAAAAGATTATCTGACTGTATGCAGAACAGTCTTCGGTAGTCCTCACACTGCCTAAGAAATCCCAAACATTCCTGGACTGTCTTAAGCCCACTTTTAAATTCTTCCCTGGGCTAATCAGTAACCAACAAAGGAAAAGAAAGGGGAAGAAGCGGGAAAAGTGGCCAAACAGATCAGGAAAGAAAACAAACCTGCTCTTGGATTTCTTCTCTACAGAGTTAGCAGTAGATAGAGTAATTCATCCCTGCATGGTTAAGTAGTAGAAAAGGCACCTCTGGTGTTTCCCATTTTCAAGGCAATAGGGTAAAAAGGAAGGAACTGGTTTTCGGGGATGAGGAATTAATGATTAGACCAAGAATCGAGTTTTAATGCCAGATTTATAACACTGCTTTTTAATCTGATTTCAAGTTCCTTCTAAACAGGAACTGTGTCTCTAACTGTCTTTGGAATCTTTCTTTCTCAACAGTATGATTAAGGATATTCACAAATAGAGAGAATGGGGAAAAGCGAGGAGGGAAGATTCGGGAAATACAAGAACCAAGGGGCGCCTGGGTGGCCCAGATGGTTGAGTGTCTGCCTTTGGCTCGGGTCCTGATCTCCAGGTCCTGGGATTGAGTCCCAGCAGGGAGTCTGCTTCTCTCTCTTCTTCTGCCTCTCCCTCTGCTTGTGGTCTCTCTGTCTCTCCCTCAAATGAATAAATAAAATCTTTAAAAAAAAAATACAAGAACCAAGGACAGGTCTTTTTTTTTTTTTTTTTTAAAGATTTATTTATTTGAGAAAGAGAGGGCGCGTGCACACATGCGCTCAAGTGTGTGCCCACAAAAAGGGGCTGGGCAGAGGGGGAGAATCTCGAGCAGACCCTCCGCTGAGCCCGATGTGGGGCTCCATCCCACAACCCATGAGATCATGACCTGAGCGGAAATCAAGAGTCAGACAATATACTCAAGAGACTGAGCCACCTGGCGCTCCCCAAGGACAGGTCTGCACAGCACAGGGTGGTGCGTACAAGCAGAGCTCCGTAGGGACTTCAGGCTGCAGAAGGGACAGACTCACCATCATTCGGAGTGCTGCATGGGGACAGAAAATAGCCAGCTGCCGCACTGGCTCATTGTGAGTGTTGAAAAAGATAGTCATGGTGACCAGGACATCACAGTTGTGAGCCTGGCAGAAAGCATGGAGATCTGCAATGAGGTCAGACCTCTGCAGAAAGGCCTGAAAGAGAAGAAACAGGGCAGTGATAAGGGCTTCAGCCGGACCCTCTTTGTCACCAGCAACAAAACATGCTCACGAAGGGTTTCTTTCCATGTTAACCTGGGGCTTATACTCCATAAGAACAGTATCTCATATTGACTCTGTGTAATCTATGTGCTGGGAAGCAGCAGGTAGAACGGGGAGAATATAGGTTTTAGGTTCAGAGAGAATTGGTTTGAAAATCAGCTCTATGACCTATTAGCTATATGATCACGGAGTTGTATAGTAAGCTCCTCGGACTTGAGTTTCTTCATTTGTAAAATGAGTCTAGAACCTTTGTCAAAAGTGATTTTTTTTTTTAAAGATTTTATTTATGTATTTGACAGAGAGACAGAGACACGCAGTGAGAAAGGGAACACAAGCAGGGGGAGTAGGAGAGGGAGGAGCAGGCTTCCTGTGGAGCAAGGAGCCCAATCATCCCAGGACCCTGGGATC